AATTGGTAGAAAATTATCAACGCGATTTTTTTTATTTTTTTCCGTTCAGAATCACGGATAGGGTATAGTGGGACACTGAGTTATTTATTCTCCTATTTCAGTCAGAGACTATGCAGGAGACCCCCCTCATCATCTCAGTCTGAGGGCAGAATTTATTTCCAATCACTCATCTGACTACTCTCACTGAGGTGTATACAGTCTCAAGCAGCCTTTACTAATTATATGATTTTATGTGTATATCATTGATCAGAGAAAATTCTTCACTACTCTCAATTTAAAATCTAGTATAATTCTGAATCTTTGATATCTCTAAACTAGACGGTTCAGAGAAAATCACTAAAATCATATTAAATCTGACTGAATGCAAAGACAATCTTCATACACTAAGATTTAATGTCATTCTGTCCATTGATTATATATATATAGTGAAAATCATTTCCTCCTAATCTATTAATTAACTCTCTGTAGTCAAGAACTGGCCCCAGATTGTGTGGATGTAATCAATAGATCATGGTAAAATCACCTTGTGAGGGAGGCAGGATTCAAACCTGCAACCCTGACATCTCGGAAGAGCCATCCCCCATAGCCAGCCAGTTCCTACTTACCATGGTCCTTCCACGGACAGCGCTTTTACCACTACGCTATCCACCCCACCTTGGGCTTGCTGTGCATTTCACGCGAAGTTTTGGTAGATTTGAAAGTTATCAACATTAGAGGTTACTGGGTTGTTAGATAGTTACTGGCGCGAATCTAAAATCGAATCTCCAAGCGTATATTCCACAAACAATTGTTCACTAGCCCTAATCGGACAACGCAAATAGTCAAAAATATAGAGCAGAGACCTGGGAAGATCAAATAATATATGTGAATCCCCCGTCACCAGCACCTTTCTCCCTTCCATTCATCGACAAGCCCGCTGAGCCCGAGCCCAAACCCGAACCCGAGCCAGAGCCAGAGCCAGAGCCAGAGCCAGAGACACGGCCCATCAGCCCGGCAGCCTCCCCTTCAACCATCTCAATCTCATCTACGCCCGCCGCGCCCACACCCTTTAACACCCTCTCACTCTCCCTCTGCAAAAGCACTCTCAGCACGAGCGCCAACGCCGCCACCAAAAGCATAAACAGAGCACAAACGGCCATACCACGTACATACCACGGGCCATCGGTCCGTGGATACAATCTTGTCCCAACGAGTGGGCCGCACTGGCCGATGATATTCAGGATCGCCATGCCGGTTCCCTTACCTTCTTTCGCGGGCTGGTTGTCCATCGTCCAGGTGATGATTATGGTGATGGACGAGAAGAAGCCCGCTGCGGCGGGGTAGATGGCTATGTATCGAATGAGGATTTGGAGAGTGGAGGAGAGATGGGTGTGGAAGTGGCCTGCTAAGGCGATGGTTAGGTAGGCAGCGGAGCTGAGGAGGGCGTGGGTTATTATATAGGGGCTGCGGGTACGGTGGCGGTCAGAGAGGGAGGCGGTGAGGAGGACGATTAGAAATGAGAATATGTACGGTGGGGCGGATAGGGCTTGGGAGGTGATGGCAGAGTAGCCCATGCTAGGTGTTATTAGGATGGTTAGTTGTCGACGACGACCACTCTATACTACTGTTGCAAGTAGGATAGACGAACTCTTTTAGAATTGTGGGGAGGTAGACTGGCAATGAGCTGAAAGCGACATTGCAGCTGAAGAACATAAGCTACAAGAGAACGAGGATTTTTTAGTAAATAATGAACGGCGCAGAAATGTTAAAACAAATGATTCGCTCCTGGAACTCACCGCAGTGAGATACGCCTTGGGATCGCGAAGTGTTCGGCCGATCTCACTCCATTCAAACCGTCGCTTACGAGATTTATCCCTATGACGCATGCCATCGTTGATTTTCAAGCGTAGCTGTGCAACTTTCCTCTCTCGAGGGGTGAGATACCGGGAGTTACCAGGGCTATCAGGGACGTAAATCCACGCAAATACAGCAACAATTACACTTGGGAACCCTTCGAAGAGTAACAATGCGCGCCATGGTGCGATGGGTCCATCTTCACTTAGCTTCACAATCGCCCATGCAAGGGCGCTGGCGAAGGAGGTTGCGAGCGGAGCAGCGGATATAAACATCCCTGTGCGATAAGCCAGCTCCTCGCGCTTATAGAAAAAGGACAGAAAGAACGGAAGACCTGGCCCAAAGGCCGCTTCAGCAACACCGAGGAGCGCCCTGAGAAGCACAAGGGGCCAAAATGAGGAGACGAGAGATTGACATGCGGCAAGAAGGCCCCAGGAGAAGCAGCATATAGAAATATAGATATGTGCAGGGACGACTGTATACATAAGCGTCATCCATTCAAAACAAATATATGTGATGTAAAACGCCGTGAGAACCCATTCGAATTGCGAGGACGTGAGTTTGAGATCTCTTTCCATTCCCGCGATCCTGGCATTCCCGATGTCTAAAAGGCATAACAGAGTTTAGAATTTGTGACGCTTAGGGACCAAGATGTGAACTCACTTGATCGATCAATGAAGGACAGCATATATAACAACGCCATAAACATGGTCAATCGCAGATCAAACTTCCTGACGATGCGCCTCTCTTCGTCGGCAGTATATATCTTTGAGGAAACAGGCTCCTCTATGTAGTCGTATTCTTCCGTTCCTTTCGGAGAGATGTAAGGTCCGCCATTATCGCTCAGCTCGCTCCCGTATGCATCATGCGCTAATTCTCGGGGCTCTGCTAAGTTTTCATTATGCCCGTTGCCATTGAAATTGGCTTGAAGTCTCCCTAGTTCAGGAGGCTGCTGCCCCCAATTAGGGGATGACGGGGTATCTGCTAATATTGAGCCCGAAATTTCATCTTCTGGTGTCAACTGGGAGTTCGAAGAGGTGGAGGAGCTCGTTGACGGAGTATCTCCAGCAGTCGAAGAGGAGGGTGTATTTACGAAACGGCGAGAAACAGGGGGCTGGTTTTCAAGGTTGAGCATTGTAGGTGTAGTTTAGGGAGCTGCAGGGCTCCCTGGATGTCGGGGACATAGGGCACCGGAAAGATAACCCTAATGTGCTGAAACGTATTTCATGAGGTAGGTCGGACTTAAAACAGTTAGTTTGGGAGTAATATTAAAATCGTAACCGCCAAATGGTCCAAGGTTTAGGGAAATCCATAAACAGGTTGTTCGCGCTGAGCTTGAAGGCTGTTGAAGATCGATTCCGAGCTCTCTCCGCACCCAGATCACGTGGTCTATTTAGCTTGTTTGTGTGGGATGGTTGAACCTCTCTATTGGGGCGTAGGAACTAGCTAATCTATATAACGCTACGTCACGTACCACGTTCGCTAGGGCGACCGCTAGGCGGCTTCCGCCCAACAGTTTGTTACTCCCGTACAAGCAACGCCGCAAGCTCTAACTAGCTGCGAGGATCAGGTCAGGAATAATTAGTAAATGACAAGCTTCAGCCGTCTTGAAAATTTTGGGGATACATTGAAGCAACTGTCATTCCTTCTGCGCAAGCCCATAGTTCATCACTTGGTGTGTGCAAATGTCCGAAAGACAGTGCGGGTCTTGCTGCCTGTTTATCACTGATAACTTTCCATTCAGGTACGTACGTTCCCTTGCTTGAAAATGCCTATAGCGGAGAGCTAGTAGCATGGCCAGCGACTATTTGCCCAATGCTTACGCAGCGTATAGATTCTTTTCCCGGATTGCGATGTATAACTTGCCAGATATTCCAGGACTGACGAACCTGATCCCCCCGGTCAGATTGTTGGAACTGTGGAATACAGGCCATATGCTACTTTCCCTTAGGATAGTGTATTGCCCATGATGGAAAAGTATCGTTTCGGACAATGGGATGAAAACCACCGCCTTGGTGCTGGTGGTAGATGAGAGGGTGTACCAAGGAACTTCGAGGTTCGGAATTGAACTTGGATTAAGGAATCTTGCAGTGAAGTCCTCTCATCGTCTTAGTGGAAATTCATCTCCAGTAGGACAAAAAGTTCTTGATGTTGGGTGGTACGTTTCACTGAGCTATGCGTCGTCATCCATTGATAGTTCAAACAGCCGTGATACTCAGCAGGTTGGAAATATAACAACAATAACGAAATAGCAAATGACAAATGCATCTTTTGAATGCGATTCTCGTATGAAAAGTATCTCGTGAGAGTGAATAGTCTAACCACGTACTATATTGCGGTGATTAGCTGTAGCAAGTTCGACGAAACTACGCCCACTCTCCACTTCTCCTGACAGCGGCAGTGATCGTTTTGTCGCGATGCGAGAAATTTGGAAATATCTCAATACTTGTATTGATTGATTGAAATCATTGATGAAATTTGCTTTAAACCTACACGTCTTTCACAGTCATCCTTGTGATATGAAGCTAATCAGCATTTGGAACGAGTGTTTGAAAGAGAGAACAATTGATATTCTGCAGAACAGTCACCCGAAGGTGGTCTCAGTGTACTTCTCTATGGTTTAGATCATGACCCTACAAAATGCCCGCCGACTGTGGACTTGGGTGCTGGGTGGGTTTGCTATTCGCGGAAACTCAGGCACGAGCAACAGGCTCTTTTGTTCCGATGAACTTTGTCCCCATTTACATTTCAGAGATAACTAACTCGCTGGAGGCTTACGGAGCCACATGAATATTAATCCGGGGGGATACATGTATAATGAGGGGTGGATGGATAATCAACGATAATATCTTACCTCTTCTTCCACTGTCTAGGAAGTAGAAGATGGGTACGACAAAGGAGAAAGGAGGATAGATCGAATCATACAATAAATACTTGAAATCATTTTAGCCTTTTATTCCTAAATACCAGCAAACCTCTCACTGCTATGGAGGGTTCAGACATTCTCACTACTAAAATACCCATTGTATGTATTTCAAACGCCACATCAAAAAAATGGAGAAGTTTGAACGCTGCATTCGACCTGGAAAAGGATTGACATGGCCACCATACGGCAATTTTACTAGATGTCGATCAAACTATGCCCAACCATTCATCTCCCCTTGAGTTTAGTATGGACGGTAGCAATCACCTCTAGGACGGGACGCACGGTAGCAGTGCGGCTGAGACCGACGCTTCGCAAACCGCGATGCCGATGACGACATCGATGAAGCAGGCTTCCCTCCTCCACGCTTACAATCAGCCTCATGAATCTCAAAGGGCCGTTTCCTGCCCCCACTAAGCGCGATCGCCTTCTCCTTCGCCATCTGGAACGCCGCCTCCAGCGTCGGGACCATGGCATGCTCCATCTTGCGGGCATGCAGGTAGTTGAGGGCGTTTTCAGCGGTGTCGCGGAGAAATTTCGCGGCGCGGGACTTCGCGACGACATCGCTATCTGGGATTAACTTGTACTCTCGCTGTGCATTGGAAAAAGTAGAGAGGATGCGGGAAAGGCTGTCGTTGATGGTTTTGAGCTCCTTTGCGTTGTTGCGTGGGCCGTTCTTGTCCTTGTGGGTTTGGCCAGGGGCGCTGCCGTTTATAGCACCCTTTTTGAGAAGGGCTGGGATGGGGTCGGTGGCTTCCTGACCATTGGTGCGGGTTACTAAATGGAAAGCGCAGTTAGTATATAGAAGTAGTTCCTCTAGTTTCTTGTCTTTATTTTCTTCTCCTATATCCAAATTTGTAGCGAAATAACAAAGAATTCTAAACAAAGGGCGAAAACCATACCGTTCAACAATAGACTCCTGACAGCCACATGTTTGACAACCAGGGCCTCCAGGTCGGCAGCTTCAGCGCCTTCCATCCCCATAACCTGATCAAGGAACAACTGGATTGCACCCATGTAACACGTTTCAGCGCCCTTGTCAATCAATTCAAGCAGAGCCTTATCGTAAACAGTGATCTGGCCGTCCCCTAAGGCCTGCGAGCGGGACTTGACCAGTGAAATATGGTGTTCAAACACTTCATAGAGAAGACGGAAGAGATCGGAATTCTTGACAAATTCTGACAGCATTGGTTTCACAGAATTGGCATCGAGGTACTTCTCTGCAAGTGCAGAGGATTCATCGTCCAGGTTGGCATTGGCTTTGCGGACTGTTAAGTGGTTTCCATTGGCGAATTCAGGGCCGTGGTGCATCGCGTAGTTGGGAGACATGGCTTGGAGAAAGGGGTTGAGATCTTTGATAACTGAGTGTTTCTGATCTTATACACTCGATTGAGGATGATGTCTCATCCACTAGATGGGGGGTATGTGGCTCTAGTGGAGATGTCAAATCAAGCCTGAAGGTGGAAGATAACAGACGAATTTGTGTGAGGAAGTTTTGGCGTGAAAGAGAGATATCGATGTAGGAGCAGACAGACGCGTTTGGGTGAAAACAAAGAGGTGTCTGGTTGCTATGTCTATGTGTTGTGAGATATACAACCACTGGCCATGTAGCATTGAATATTAAAAACTTCTAGAATGGCCGGTATGTTTGTTGAGCAAAGAAGATACAGACCAGCAATTAGCATCCCAATAACTTTTTATATCAGTTCTGTCAAAATGAAGTTAGGAGACAGTCACAATTGAAACAAAAAGCTTCTCTAGGAAACTGCAGCTTCAGTATGGCAATATGGCCAGTGCTGCATCATCCTGCTGTTAGAGATATAGGTCTCTCCAGCCACGCCTAGGTAAAGATAAACAGGGATAAATCCTTAGCTTGGAAAATGCATTAGCAAGTGTAAAACATGCTCAACAGTGTGGATTTATCATGTACATTTATTGAGGTAATGAATCCCCATCCTTCAGCAGGGAGGACTCATAGCCCATGTGCAAAGGTTCTCCGCCAGCAGAGGAAAAGAAAAGTAAATAGATAGGGATATACACATGGGAAACGGTTCTTTTTCAGATAGGCAGAATAGCACTGAAGAAGGGAAGCTCAGTGGATTCATACATCGGAAATGAAAGGAATAGGTGTTGAAAGGATAGTAAGACAAGGCGGGTGGCCAAGAATAGGGTATATATTGTGGCAAAGGGTAGCGAGGAGCACGATAACGGGTGAGATATTTGATTTATACAACCAAATCTCAAAGGATGGGATAATGACGAAAACCAAAAGCAAGAGCTACGCCGGTGCTGGATGTTTTCTTATTTCAGATTTGTTATGAACCTCCCGAGTTGTCGTAAAGCCTGTTAATCTCATCCACAAGTGTGGGTGATTCATCTCCATGCGGCTGACAATCCTTCCACGTATGGCCGTCACGAATACACCATATCTTCTCATTGACACGAACGGTACAACTCTTTTTGATCCCCAAAGCAGTATTGCGCTTGAAATCAGTCGTCAGTAGCGCAGGCCGCTGACTCCATCTGGATCGTCGTCCTCGTCTACCTGGCGACTGACGTAGACATTGAGAGCGCCGAAATCAAGACCAAATTCCAAAGAGCAGTCCTCAATCAGCTCCCGCTCCGGTATCTTATTATATGAAGCCAATAAACAGTTGGCGAAACCAAGGGAGCGGACGATGGGCGTTTTATTCTGCGTTTGTGCACCGGGTGGGAATGGGAGGTTAGCGGCACAAAGCATGAACATGTTCCCTACACACTCGGGCGGGCCGTGCTTGCAAGATACATCTGAGGATTTATTCGATACACTAGAAAACGAGTCATAAAAACTTTTTTTTCAATCATCCGGCGAGCTGGCGTCCTCCGATAAAGATTCTTGCTCCAGTCGCGAGAGATGATGACTCTCTGGATCTTGCGAAAGTCCAGATTGTAGAAGCAGCGGGACTTCAAAATCGAAATCAGGCGGTAACTGGTCAATGGCCGAGCAGATCATATCAAAGAGCATTGGCATCCATATGTCATAGACATTCTTGGTGAACTTATATGCTGTCCATTTCTCTTTGCCATCTAGTTCAGTGAAGTCGAAAGTGCGGATAGGGTGGCGATAGAAGGTAGTCTCTTTACCCTTCATCACAGGGTAATGGCCATAGATTCTTACTGTTCGATGGTCGTGGGAGATGGAGAATGCCAGAATTTGCCGGTGGAGCTCTTGTTCTCGCTTTACAAGCCGAAAGAGCTCCACAATTGCCCTGACCGAAAGGGTCATGCTGTGAGCATTCTGTCGGTCTGCTACATCAAGTGCTGCAGCACCACATTTCACTTCACATGTTAGGAATGGAAAGTACATGTAGTATGTGGCCATGAAGAAAGACAGGTCCATGACGTCACCTAAAATGGGCTTGATCTTCGAAAGTTGATCTTCCGTGAATGCAGCGCGCCTAAATCCCACAGCGTAGTCAGGCTGCGGACGAGGTCCAACAAGGGGGATGGAGTTATTCCAGCCTTCATTGACGCTTTCGACTAAAATGTTCAAGGGTTTGGCACCAAATGTAGCAAATGTCTCTGCAGAAGGAACAATCAGTCGAGAAATATCTTGAATGACCCTAGCTTCGTTTTTATCTTGCAATTTTCGGCAGGCCTTATCAAACGTATCATCATGAAACAAGGAGTCTTTTGGGACAGTCTGTTCCTTCTCGAGCAATGTTCTGCAGAGGCGTTTGCTGGCATCTGTGATATCCAGTTCGGATTTGTCCACATAACTGCCCTTCGTTTCAAGAAGAATCGAATAACGTGGATCTTGGTATGGCGCACTCTTCTCCTCCCTCGGCTTTTGGTCGCTTGGTGTATTGGAGGTAGCCTTAAGGGAGCCCAGCCCTGATCGTTTGCGGCGAAGGGAGGATGCCGACTTCTTCCACGCAAGTAGATGACTCATTTCACCGTCCGGTTCCAAATATTCCTTTGGCCAAGCTTGTTCCCTCCGCCAATGCTCAATGGGATCAAATAGGGCGTCGTTCCTGTTGCGGGATGGTGCTCCTTGGTCACCCGGTCTCTTTGCGGTAAGGCTTGGAAATATCCGTGGTCGCTTCCGGAGGTGGTCAGTTGGTGTGTTGTCGGTTCCGGCTTCACGCGACCGCTTTCGACTCTTGAGTTGTTGAGTAGTCAGCTGGCCCTACAGAAGTGAGCTTAAGCTTAGATTTATTGTGAAGTGGGTTGACATACTTCCCGGGATAGAGTCTTGTTCATGGGAAGAGAGTGTTTGTGCTCACTATGGTTGCTGTACTCCAGGTTTAGGCGTGCACTTTTTCGAAGGCCTTTCTTCGTTCTCGTTTTGCAAACACCCTGAGGATGTTTCCCTTCTGGCAAGTTAGAGGTGGGTATTTAATTGAGTGTAATCGAGGCGCACCTTGATCTTTTTGTACAAACGGTTGCCTCATATCCGTCTGGGCGGCTTGCCTTGAATAGGCCATGTCGATTGGCGGGGGAGAAAGATAGCTTTATGTCACTGCTGGCCGGAGATTGAGTGGTTGGTGTTGATAGAACTAATAAGTTTCGGAATGAGCGCCCAAGACGTTCCCCACATAAGCTCAATTGGTAGTTAACTAACTGTTGGGGGTCCCGCGGTTGATCGGCCCTTCTACCAGCAGTGCGCTGGTGGTGATTGAGCTCTTTTGCCCCCAGTAGCCTACACTAACTATGGCTCCTGACTAAGCAGCCACTCTCCTTCCAGGACAAATTCTTACGGTGTATACAGAAAACTTGACCTCGCTAAGTGCGCCACTTGACCTCGTTACATAATCATGACCCCGACCTCGCACAATACAGTAATAATCAGTTGGTAATTGACTTTCAATCTTTCAATCCACTCATAGTCTCATTCATTCAGCTCATTAATTAATCAAAGCATGTATAGCTGATTCATAATCAATTAAATGAACAGACAAATTCATATAGAATATAAAGAGATATTTTACAGAATTTTAAAATATATTAAGATAAAAATATTTAATAATTAATTTTAAATTGATTTTAAATTAATTCTGAATTGATTCTGAATTAATTATAGTAATAAAAATAGATTTAATCTATATATTTAAGTAATTAATAATTGATTGAAAATCAGTTGATAATCAATTCAGTATTATTATGTAATTCAAAGATTGCTTAAGTCAGTGTATGATTACAGGCATATACCGGCTTCTTATATTATAATCTCATACATTAAATTAATTAGTATATGCTATGGCCTCTTTGCACTCATATGTGTATACTAGTAGTTCGGAAGCAGCTGTGTTATTATCTGACAGTTATATGTTCTTCTGAATCATATTCTTTCTCACCAGATTTAATCACACTCATGTGATCATGTTATACACTCTAGCTTCATGCAGATTAGCTCATCACTAGTATCTTATAATTATATAATCTATTTCTAATTCAGCTAGTATTCTGTGTATATTCTTATAAAGAAACTTTCACTATATTACATTACTCATTCACTAACTTTTCTCATTCTTTAATCATCTTCTTTATTATCATTATTATTAAATATCACTATCTCATTCAAGATTTCTATCTCTTCTTCTGTTCAACTCTTTTCATCTGTTCATCTATTATATTATACATATTTCTGACAATGACTTCTCATTCTTATAACAAGCATCATTATAGTGCTCATACTAGACAGTTTATTAGCAGTAAGTATAATATATTGTGAAACATAGTCAGAACTTGTTTATCTTCTAATAATTATTAGAATGATGTATTATCATGAATAATAATATATCTTCTTATACACTCTTAATTATTTCTCTTCTCAGCAGGTTTCTGATTGTGTTTTCTGACATGATTTTACATGAATGCAGATGCTGATATATTTGTTTTTATTCATATAGAATTATCATGTGTTGACAGATCTGTATTTATCAATAATAGTGAACTCAATATTAAATCATTAATTGAGAACTTGAAGAATGTGATAATGAAGAAATTGTCTGTGTCATATATAACTGAGTCTTCTGTATTTCTCTCTTCTCTCTCTGTTTCTTTCTCTGTCACTTTCTCTTAATCTTCTACATCTGCTTCTGTGTCTGATTCTCCTGCTCTTACTATCTCTGTTCTCATAACTCTCACTTCTGCCACTTCTGGTTTTACTGTCTCTGCTTTTGTTATCAGCTCTCCCCAATTCAAGAAGATATTGTATAGACTTAATAAACTATATCTCTCAGTATGTATGCTCTCACTCTTCTTACTGACTCTTAGAATAATTTATTGTATAAAGACTGTGTATAACATGACTATCTAGAGCTCAGTTATAAACACTGATTATTATATTCATTTTAAATATTTATAATAAGATAATTATTTATTTATATCAGAGAATCATCTCTCTTCTTAACAGTGTTAAAATTATAAGTCTTTTTCTTTTCATCTTTTCAATCTGACACTGATTTTTCTGTTCTTAGAGGAAATTGTTATGAGTTTTACTATGTACAAAGTCATAATATTCACAGATATCAAGAAGCTTTTTATAACTATAAAGTTCAATATTACAGAGATATTCACTCTGATAAATTTCTTCAGAATAATAGATCTGTATCAGTCTATTCTCTAACATCTGTTATCTGACTTTGTAATACAGGCAAAAGATATCTGTGTTTTCAGAAATGAGAATATGAATATCATACTCTTTTACACTCACAGATGTGAGACTTGTATATCTTGTCTGAAATGTTATTGTGAGAATGAGCTGTTTATACACTGTGTTCTGCTTTCTGCATTTTCTTATATCTCTCTCTCTCTTTCTGAGAAGCCTCATGTGTGTTGTAATTACATATACAACTCTAAGACTAGTAGATATTCATTCAGTAACTGTTCTCATCTCTGATTTTGCAATTTTTATATACTAATAATGATTCTTAGTTACTTCAGTGTCAGAGATTATTCTCATTGAAGATAATAATGCTGCTGAGACTACTCTCTCTCACTCTTAAGCTTCTTCTATTACTTTCTCTTTCTTCTCTGCAGAGAAGATTGTGTATACACTGAGTTATAAGTGTTCAGCTCTGAGTGACTCTCACTGTTATTTATTCAGTTCTGTGTCTTCTTCTTCTTCTATTTCTTTCATCTCTGCTCTCTCTGCTCTAACTTCTGATTCTGCAGATTCTACACTCTTCTTCAATTTCTCTACATATATACATGTGCATTTCTATATTAGCATTTCAGTCAATATTGTGATAAATGACATTAATGTTATACACAGAGTGATAGAGAAATCAGAGACATGCATAGTATTGTTATAAGAGTAACTTACAACTCTCAAATCTCTTATGAATCTCAAGTTTTGAGATTTTCTTTATTTTTGACATTTTTTGAGTGATGTAATGTTGAAAATAGATTAAATATATAATGTATAAAAATGAATGAGATGTGTATAATAATATTTATCTTTTTATGACTGACTCTTACAGTTGATAATCAATTCATTATCTCTTTTCTTTTTCTTACACTTTTTCTTTATCTGCTAGCTACTACTCTTACACAATCTCTATATAATACAGTGTTCAGTGACTAGATTTGACAGCTTTCATCTTTATGATTCTGTCTCATATATTATACTGTCTCTCTTCACTCACTCAGATCACTACAGTGAATAACTTATTGAAACTAATCTCACTCAATCTCTGAGCATCTTCAGAGATTAAGATGACTTAGTCTTATATATTCACAGATATTTCAGATAGTTCATCC